CAGAAACTCAAGGCTATGTTGCAGGATGATGCCTTTTTATATCACCCGGATTTTTCGCGGCCCTTTTGTGTGCAAACAGATGCCAGTGACGTAGGCGTGGGAGCGATACTTTTCCAGATGATTGAGGGAAAACGTAAAGTCATAGCATACGCATCTCGTATGCTGTTAGACAGAGAGACGAGGTATGGATCTACCGAGAAAGAAATCCTTGCCGTTTTGTTCGCTTTCCAGAAATGGCGAGTATACTTGCTCGGTCGTTCATTTTTCCTTTATGTCGATAACAAGGCTATCACTTTCATCAACCGATGTAGGCTATTGTCAGATCGAATTTCTCGTTGGACTTTGATATTACAGGAATATCGTTTTGAGGTTATTTTTGTCCCTGGAAGAGAAAATTTACAAGCCGATACCTTGAGTAGGTACGCTTGTGCTAGATTTCCGGTGCCGACGGATAAATGTTTTCAGTTACTGACCACATTAAAATTACCGAAAGAATTCCACACTTTGATAGATAACTTTGGGCATAGTCAGGACCAAGACAGTAAACTTCAGGAAATTAAGGAAAAATTGCCAAGGGATCCCAAACTTCAAACTCTTTTTACAATATCGGATGAAGTATTATTCAAAAATGGAACTACCGATGGAGATTATTTGTTGTGTGTTCCTCGTCATCTTATTTCGGATTTCATTGACAAGTATCATGAAGTTTTTGGCCACTTTGGCATTTATAAAACTTGGTCTGCGTTGAAAACAGAATTGTGGTGGGCGAACATGCATCGATCGGTTAAACGGAGGCTTAGAAATTGTGAAATTTGTCAAAAGACAAAAATTTGTAGTTTGCCAAAACCTGCACAAATGCAGATAATACCAGAGGGAGTGAAGGATATCATTGCGATGGATATTTTTGGGCCATTAATCCGCAGTCGCGGAGGGGTGATGTATATTTTCGTGGTATTGAATTTATTTACGAAACATGTGGCTTTATACCCCCTGAAAAAAGCGAATACTCAGGCTATGTTGAATCGCCTGGTGAAAGAATACTTTCCCGCTTTTGGAATACCTAAACGAGTTTTACATGATAACGGCACTCAGTTCACATCTCGTAGCTGGAAAACAACTTTACAAGCTCAAGGTATTCAGATTGTATATAGTTCGGTGCGCCACCCTTGTGCCAATCCATCGGAAAGGGTTATGCGCGAACTTGGCCGCTTGCTGCGCACTTATTGCCACGAGCGACATTCCAAGTGGGCTTGGGAGGTGCCCCGTTTTATTGAACTGTTGAATTCGGTTGTCCACGAGAGTACCGGGTTCGCTCCTTGCGAACTCCAATCCGGCATTTCTCGCCCTAGGTTGTTAAAAGGTAAATTCAACCTGCCTGAAGGTTATCAGGGTTTGGAAATACCTGTCCAGGAAAAATTGATCTTAGCTGAAGCCACGTTAAGAGGAAAAGCTGCGCGTCGTGCTGCAGCCAATCCCGGGAAACCATTTTACGATTTCCAGCCGGGTGACAGAATCTTACTTCGTGCAAATAATGTATCCTCAGCGATAAAGTCCGAGACGAAAAAAATGCTATTACTCTTTACAGGACCTTATCGTATTAAGAAAAAGGTTAGTGACGCCACCTATGTTCTAATAAACGACCAGGATGATAGAGAACGGGGAATTTTTCACGCTTCCCATTTGAAGTTATTTTGTTCTCCAACTTAGCGCACCGCCTAGGGCGGCACCAAGTTTAGGGGGGGGCGAGATGTAGCGAAACTGAGTTAGGGTAGTATCCAACTTTCCAATTTCGTCCTTTTCATTTCTGGTTTTGGGCTTATCATCACCCCACGAGTACTGCACTGGAGCTATTTACTATTTGCCTTGTGGTACCTATGCCAGTTTTTATTTAGAGCGTCGAAAAAAGTATATTCATATTTTCAAGAAATAGTCGTTCTTCGCGAGCTGAGTGAATTTGGGATTGCGTATCAGAGAGTGTCACCTACGACTATTAATTCCTTTTATACCTAGCGAAGTGTTTGATAACGAACAGAATTTTGTGGTTTCCAACTGCGCTGAAATACGTTTATTTGAGTAGCAGTGTGCCTGATCTGTCAGGTGAGTTGATGCTAATAACATCCTTATAACAATCTTCGATATATCAATTAAGTACTGGACTCCGCTAAGTTCCTATTTTTCTTTCTTCTAATAATTGCGAATCAGTCACGCGACGAAATTAAAGTTTTCTGTCAGTTTGCAGATACCTAGCAAGTTTAGGAATAATAAAACTGGTTTGTCTGACTCTGCTCGTTTCTTTGCTGCAAATATATATACAGTGTGGACCCAAATCAAAAAACCCTGAGATTTAAAGAGAGTTCCGCCGCAGAGTCTCGTGTCCCTGGGACCGGTGCTCGTTGGGATGCGCTGTCTTGGACTCGATAAGATGGCCGGGACGCGATTTCACTAAATATAAACTATTGCAGCACAAGACACGCCCACCATAATACGTCATATCTCATACTGTGCTCCAACGCAAGAACTGAAGCTTTCTCGTTGTCAATCTCTTGTACGCAGTAAATTCATACACCCAAATGGTCTACTGGTTAGCGCTGTCGACTCTCAGTCTGAAGGTTCATGGTTCGAATCGCTGTGAACTCGAACTTTTTTTTGCAACTTTTTTATTTCACCAATGTTTTTTTACTTCATTCTGGTTTTCCTTTTTCATAAAATATTTGAAGTCAAATAGGTTAGTGCGTTTAGGATAAACAGTCTCATTTTATTCAATTTTGTTGAAGAACTCAACTTTTGAAATATATTATTAATCAATGTGTTTCTACACTCCATTCGGTTTTCCTTCCTCAAAAATATTGCAATCAGGGATAGGTTAGTTCGTTGAGGATAAATAGTCTCTGAGTTTTGCCTGAGTAAAGTACTTTGAAGATGAGATATAACGTGGTATGTGCTACTTTTTCAATCGATTTATTTATATGAATCAGCTACGTTGTGCTGTCAAAGATTAGATTTTGCAGGATTGTGCTGGGCTCGATTATATTTTGCAATGCCGTAGTACGGGGCGTGTCTTGTGCTGCAATAGTTTATATCTAGTAAAATCGCGGCCGGGACCACTCCTCCTCGTTGTCGTGGACATTTTTTTTGTCTCACTTCACCTTTTCTTTTGTTTCTCACTTGTTCACTGTGTTTTTATCATTTAATAAATGTCAATTCATGTTAAACAAAACATGCACTCTTTCCTTGCCACAATCAAGTTACGATAGTGTGGTAGTTAGGACACCCTCTTGCTGCCAAGCATAACCCCCTAAGATCACGCAGCCGGGGAGGAAGGCCACATGGTCGTGACAATACAATTACAGTACCACTCCTACCGAATCTGGTTCCACATAATGAGATTTTCTTGAAGATATAGCTTCTATTGAGAGGTAGTGTTGATATCAATATTCGCTTTACAATTTCATTCTCCTCATTAATTTTATCATTAATTGAAGCTGAATCGATTTTGGGGGCAGCCATAATTTTCGTCCAAGTGAAAGGGGTTTGAATAATATATAAATAAGCGTACTTACATAAAAGAGATAACCTTTTATCACACTCAAACTTTCTCAACTTAATTGAGTAGAAGCAATGTTCAATGTTATTGCAAGAACTATGCTTGTGTATGTGGCGGATTTCGTATTTATAGAAACGCAAGCAACCCCCCACTATAGCGATGTGTTGCGCGAACGTGTCTTCAACTTCGAACACGCTTTCAAGGTCTCTTTCTCTCTCTACAACTTGATGTCACTCACTCTCAAGGTCGCACATGCGGGGGTTCACTCCCGCCCAAGGTCGCTTCCGCCCAAGGCCACTCCTGTCCCAAGGTCACTCCGCCCAAGGTCACTTCCTTCCAAGGCAACTCCTGACCGAGGACACTCCTGCTCCAAGACCACACCTGCTTCAAGGTCACTTCGCCCAAGGTCCCCTCGGGCGGAGAGTCAGAAACGGCTAATCTTATCTATTCATATGATTATATTTTAGTGTATTGCCATGAAACAGCCCCTGCAGGACTGCCAAAATGGTTGGCGAAAGCATTTCTATATTTGTAAGCAGACTTGTGATCACGGTTTGCTTGTTGGTTCCTTTGAATATCATATAGACCTGTTCTTATTAAAGTATCCTCAAATTTGAAGCCGAACAAAATTGTGTAATGAGCAGCATGCTTTCGTGATAGCTACTGCGGTTTCCTCAGATACAGTGATAGCTACTGCGGTTTCCTCAGATACATTCATGGCTCGGTGGAATATACGCCACTTGTTACTGAGAATACCAACGGAACACTCTATTTTACCTCTTCCTCTAGACAAACGGTAGTTGAAAATTCTTTTCACTTTTGCTGATCCATTTTCAGGATAAGGTCGCATCAAGTTATTTGTCAGTCCAAAAGACTCGTCGCCAACGAATACATATGGCAGTGCTGTGCCTGCTGTTGTCTGTGATTTTGGAATATTCAAGGTGCCTTTTTCTGATTTTCTAAACAAGAAACAGTTTCTAAATATTGTAGAATCACATTCTTTACCATAGGAGCCAACATCTATATTCGTCCCTCCAATGCCAAAACCGCGAGTGTGTAAATTTTCGGTTTTTCACCTATGTGCACTGGCAACAATATTGAATTTCAAAGACTTCAATGCCAATACCCCTCTACAACCTGTTGTCTGTTTCGCGAGAGTGTCAACTTCAGTTTGGTTCCAACGCCTGAAGCGCGAATGTACTTTATTCGTGGTTTTGCCGTTGTAACTTTTTCTGGATTTTCAAGTAGGTTCACGAATGTGCCACATTCCTGATTTTGGCAGTGTTGTTAATAGTGTTTACGCTTATTGGTTGTTTTGGTGCCTTACTGTTTAAAAAAAAATGAGTAGTCGTAGTTCCCGTACAAAAAGATTAGTGCAGCTTGGCAAGAAATTAAATGGTAAGGAAGTAATTCCTTATTATTTTATGCATTATAACACAATGTACTTGATTTTTAGCAGAATCAAACAACAAATTGACGTTGGTGCAACCATGGCGTCATGAAGTGATTCATTGTACTTACGAAAATCAAGTTCCAGAAGATCCAGCCCGTTCTGAAGATCTGCATGAGCCTCCAATGAATACTCCAGATAGAGTATTCGATCATAAATCAGGTCCTCAATTTATGGCCATGGAAGGTGAATTTTCGATTGCTTTGTTTTCATAGTCGAATCACACTAGTTGAAAGTGTTAGAATTTTGAGCTTTCTGTGTACGGCTCACTTATAATGATTAACTGCTAATAATTTATCACTCATTGGTTTCAGCTACAACAAGCTATTAGACAGAATTACCAAAAGAAATCTTCTGAAAATGATGATGTTAATAATTTGAAACTACACGAAACCAATAATTTGCATCCTGAAATTCTTCCATTGTAACATGTGATTTTCCTTTTTTACCTTTATTATGTGGGTTTGTTATTAAGTTAACCAAGAGTAACACCCAGTATATTATGATGATGTAAGATACTCAATAGATTATGTGACTGCAACACTTTACATTTTGTTATGGCAGGTGGATTGAATATCCTGTTGGCGTTGGACCTCTTGTAAGCTGAACTTGAAGATTCCTTTGTCTTCCTGGTGTGACTGTCTATTAGTTTCAGGGTTGTATTTTTCAGGTGTCCATAGCAGTGGTGTTGATCTGTCCTTCTTCCTAGCTGTAATGATAAACGATTTACATTTCTAGTTGCTGTTGACTGATTGAATGGATAAAAGTTGAAATGCACAGTTTGACAAACCTGTTGGAAATTAATATGCCCTTGCTGTTTTCAATTTAATTATGGATCCACAGGAAGTTATATTTGAAGTAGTTGTAATTGTTTATATTCATATTTCAGTTTCAGTCTGACAGTTTAATTGGTTATGTGGATTGTTAGGTTATTTCGCTTCGTCCATAGCCTTTGTGAATTTATAACCTTCTTCTTTTATTTTCGGCCTGCTGGCAACATTTTTGGTTAGACCAATGTTACTATAGCTCTGTGTCAGACCTAACTTCACAATTCTTTAAAAACGGGCAAAGGCCCATTAGGACATTTTCCTTAAATAATCTAGGTATTTCAATATTCTCTGTTGGTAATATTTATCAACTAGTCAAGATTCCAACTGTACTTGCGCAGTGAATCATTTCTAATTCTAAACATGTTTTTATAAACGGTTTTGTTCTCTGAGTGCACAGGAAACTCTTGAAATTTCTTGATTTCCTTCTTCTCTACCGAGAGTAGGCAAGATGGGCACGAATTTTGCCATTTTCCATCCAACCTTTGTGGGGTTTGATACCCTTATTTTCGGCCATTCCAGACGGAAGGTGAGCATTTTTAGAGTCCATAAACCTATTCAATGTCTTCAATTTGGTATATTTCCAACAGATTTATTGGCCTGTTCATGGTGGATGTCCTGGTGGGACGCCATCATCATAGCGTGCTAGCCTGTAGCTAGTATAGCCTCCTATTAATTTTGGAACTTTCCTCTTGATTCCATCCTGAGCCATCCATGATGCCACAAGGTGACTAGAAAGTCTCCAACTTCATTTTTGGGGCTATTCTCTTGATCCAACCTTGTTGTGCCGTCCACGATGTTGAAGGGTGACTAGGAAGTCCAGGAAACCTTTTTTTTAACTGCACCGGCTAGAGTTTGGAGTTGGAGTTCACTGGCAGTGAAGGACAGAGCAGCACCACATGCTCCGCAGACACTAAGGTCAGATCAATTTTGATTATACTTTTGTTCCTGATGATCCAGTAGTGCGCAGCACCAAGTTGAACCACTATTCAAGTCTTACTACTCGTAACAACAGTTTTTAATTTTATATTTGAAATACCACTTAACTAAATCATAATGGGAGTCCAGTCATTCTGTGAACCGGAAATATAGGCCTATATAGAAGGGGAATATCTTGAGATATCTACATTTTTTTGTTCTGCTTAAGCATTTAACTTATACAACACTGAGGAAGTGATTTAATCATCTTTCTGCACAGTAAGGTGTTACTGAAGGTATAATTGAAATTGTGTGTCACATGAACCTGCTTCAAACATCTAAAGAATTATATTTCTCTGGTACAGTTATTTGGTGTTTCATTAGATTTTCGAATTCTATCCTCAATATTAAATTTTCTTAGTTTTCCTACTACTGAAAACTGAGTGGCGCCTGGCAAAAGGTCCCTAAAAATACATAACTTCTTGAATCCACAGCCTGCTCCCAAACAACAGAGCTGCCGTGCCTATAACATAACTACACACTAGTCTTGCAATTTACTATTTATTATACAACATCCATAAAATAGCAAGAAAGCGTTATACCATTTATTTCCGAAACTCAACTTTTGGAAGATTTAGACTACTCCGCTTCATCATCTGACAACTATGGACCCTCATCAAGTTCTTCAGAAACAGCATTACTTCGGATGGAAATTCAGATGGCGAAAAAGGAAACCATTCCAACCAGTTGAGTGAAGAAATCAAGCAAACGAAAGTTTCTGAAAGAAAGTTAAAAAATCCGGCGCAATGGAAAAAAATATCCAAAAAGCTAGGGTTAAAGGAGAATAATATACTGGGCATCGTGGGATTCACAAAACTTCGGCGACCTCTTTTAGCACCTCCATGGGTGGCAAAACCAAAACATAAATTTAAGGATTTGGTTAATGACCAGGACCGAGAAAAAATATATAGAGAATTTCGTAATTCAAGTTGCTCTGATGATCAGAGACAATTTCTGTGCAACCACATCGAACAGAATTCAAAGAAACGCACTACACGAAATCTATAAAACTCACGAAAAACGTATAAATGTAGTTACTCTTTACAGTCAATGGAAGAAAGTTCACTGTGCGTAGAAAATTTTTCATGGCTACACTAAACATGTGACTGATGCTTTTATGAGCATTTCCATTAACAAACAATCTAACAGCGGAATACTTGAAAAAGATAGACGCGGGAAGCATACGCCTGCAAAACAAGTAACCCGAAACTAGTGAATAATTTATACGTGACATTTTGTCTTTTCCGGCAGTCGAGTCACTCCACTGCCGTAAGAAAAGTACAAAGCAATACTTGGACGCATCTTCTAATATTCATATTATTATAATGTATAGAATGTACAAAGATATTTGCAATTCAGAAAGTTCAAGACCAGTTACGATGGAGAAGTATAGACAGATATTCAAAGAATATAACCTAGGTTTTTTTAAACAAAAAAAAACAGTGCAAAAGATGCCTGGCACAGCATCATTAATCTGAAGAAGAGAAAATGCCAAATGAATTAAAATACAGAAAGCATCTGGAATTCATTGCCTGTGGAAGTATTCCCAACAACATATAATCTCCAAAAGTTAAAAAAATTCCAATACCTACCTCCTGTCCCTATCCTCCCTAGGAACGCACGATGTTCTTTGAACATTATAGGGATTCCCTTTCGTGCGCTCCAGGCGATAAAAAAAAATCTGGAACGAAAGGAGGCCGCCAGAGGAGCTCGCAACTATGACAAATCTTCAGCAGAGGAAAATCGGAGCATTTTAGCTTTAATTTTTTTTTCAATTGACTCGGCCGTTACTTGATGGAAATCCATGGCAAATGTAAATACTTCACAAACGATAAGATATCTTTTCTTATCCTTTGTGAAGTTTTTACATATTAGCTTTCAACTTTGATCTGCAGGCAGTGCTGACTACACCAAAAGGGTCTGCAGGGCAAATTTTGTATCTAAGAAAGCTAGCAGTCTATAATTCGACAGTATATAATTTGGAACATCAGGACGTGAGGTGTTATCTCTGGAACGAGAGACAAGGTAAAAGGGGTGTAAATGACATTGCATCATGCATATACGGCTTTATTATGTCACACAATGAAATCAGTGCGGTTCGCATGATGTCCGATGGAAGCGGTGGGCAGCGAAATAAATTCATTTTTTTGCAAGCATGTGACTCAAATTGCCACAATCATCCAACTTTGAAAACAATCGACCATCAGTTCTTCGAGACTCGGCATACCAAAATGGAGTGCGACTCTATACACTCCAAAATCGAAAAGAAATCGAAGCACGTGCCAGTTTATACGCCTGAGGAATGACAACAAGTTATTAGGGATTCGCGAATAACGCCTCAACCTTTCAACGTAAGGACCACGATATTCGACGATTTTTTTTTGTGACTTCGCAACCTTTTCAACAAGTTCATTTAATTTTAACCAGATTCCCTGGAGAAGAGTTGGCTGCCTTCGCTACATCAAGGAACAACAGTCAAAAGTATTTTATAAGACTGACTATGCAGAAGAGTTTATTGAAGTAGATTGTTCTTACACAAAAAGTCGGGGTCGCGGTCGTCCAAAACAAGAGAATATAGTATTAAGCAACGCCTATACAGGTCCACTAGCCATAAGTGGGGCTAAATTGAAAGATTTACAAAAAAAGTGTACAGATTTAACCATACCCAAAGCGTACCATAATTTTTATCAAGCTTTGAAAACAAACAAAAATGTTCGGGATAATTTACCAGAACCAGATGCCGATGAAAGCGACACTGATACAGCATAAATATGAAGTTCATTATGTTACCTCCCCATTTTATTTCCTGTGTTATTTTTTATTTGTTATTTCATTTTTGCGTCCATCTGAATTTTTGTTTGATTTGAAACTAGTTTCTGTAAGCTATTCAGAAGGACATTTTGTTTTTAGGTACTTAATTTTTAATTCAAAAGAGTCAAAAGTTATGTCGAAAAAAAAAACACTTGTTGATGAAATTTAGTTAGTTTTCAACAAGAAAAATAAATATTTTTACTCTTTTGCAAAACCAGAACAACGAATGTGCTCTTTCAAAAAAAAAAAAACTTTTTTATTGAAAATTCAATTTGCAACTCGTACAAAAAAAAATACTAATTATACGTCAGCACTCTAAAAAAAAGGCATATTTCAAGTGCTCATTCAAACATTGAAATGGTGTTTTCTCACAACTACAAATTTGCACATTCGCGGTTTTGGCATTGGAGGGACGAGTTATGTAAAGCAAAAGTTGCTGTCTGCGACAGCTAACAAAACAATGGAGAAGTACTTCTTGTAATTAAAATTTAGTGATCCGCTATGTACTGGCGCAATTATCCCGCAATGCTTTCTATCAACTGCACCAATACAGTGAGGAAAATTAGTATGAACATCAAAATCTTGGGCAATTTGACGCCAATACTGTTCAGTTAGTGTAAGGAAGCACTGTTCGTGTAATTTATGCCATAATGCAACGCAAATTCTTGGAACTATAAGATTGCTGTTGTAATTCCCACTCGGTAGATGTAATGCAAATCTGTGTATGTACATCCTGTAGCCGAATATCTGTAAAAAAAAATTAGGTTCATTGAAATAAAATCATTTGATTAGACCTATAGGCTCATAGGTAAGGCAGTTCAAATTAAGTGGAAAAATTTAAGAGGCGCTTTTGTTCATCATAGACGTCAGGAAACGTCACAAAAATCTGGAGCAGGAGCTAAACATGCAAAGACACACATCTACGCTAAACAATAAGAGAAGGAATGTGACTGAATCTGGTCAGACAGATAGTTCACTACCAAGCACATTACAAGGGAGCCAAGATGATCTCGATTTATCACAAGACAATAATGATACACAAGATAGACAATTAGTAGATGTCAACAGGGGAACCCAAACCCAAGTTAAACGGACTCCTAGTGGAAGTACTCAGTTTAGAAGAAGAAAATCTGATTTAGAAAGTAAATTCATAGGTTATACTGATTCCGAGATCGAGCAACCATCATCAGTTACACAAAATCAACCAAAATAAACCGATGACTTGGTCTTCTTCAGATCATGACAAACAAGTTCAGATACACTCACTCCCAATGAAAAATTGAACTTCCGAATAGATGTGTTGCAATTATTTACTCGCTACACAAACAAAAAACCAATCCAAGACACATCACCCAACTTTCCAAATTTTACCCCCGCTTATCGACAGGGACAGCCATATCCAGTTATGGCCAATTTTCCATATACAAGTTTCAATACGCCTGCACAAACATCATATTCTACAATATCCCCTGGGCCCTCACGTATGCCATATTATGCAGTACTACCTGGGTCCTCACACACATCATGTCCTACATTATCATCGGAGCTCCCTTTTTTCTCCAGATAGTATTCGCAGTTGCAGTAACGATTCAGTAAGTGAGGTCATATCAGAAAGTTCTCCGATGGCATCAGAGGATTTCATTATGTCTCAAGCAGAAATGATCATATCATTGAATTAAAATAAATGTGCCTCTACCCTCTACACTCTTGTTATACTTATTTTCTCAATAATGGTATACTTTTGTTTGTACTTAATTTAACGTCATTGTCATCATTTCCCCTGGTTCAAACGCAAATCCCTGTACCAACTCTACATTTGAAATCAAAGTGTTTTTTAGCTTATCACATAGCTCATCAAATGAGCCTGTCGAAATAGGGTAATAATTGAAGAATTTGCAGTGTATAATATGAGCCTCTGAGGAGTTATGCACTATTAATTGGATGCACATCCCAACGTCTCCGGCGTCTTTTTTCGAAAATATGGTTGTATATGATATACATAGCACACGGATTCATTTCAAAACTGCCGTTGTGGTGTGATGTCCACTTACAGACATCTGATATAATTTAAGAGCGGCACGCGACAAAAAACGCTTGACCTTGTTCCATATTTTGTTCCATATAAAATCATCGCGTTTTCTGTCACCTCGCGACAAGCGATAAAAAACGCGTGCATAAAAGTAGCCTAAGTTAATCCGTTAAATGTGTGTTAACAGATTGGTTAGGTCATTAAATGGATTAGCTCTAATCAGATCTTGGAAAAATTAAACGAATATATTTTAAGGGAATCAAGAATGTATGATTTGGTTCTTTTCCCCGGTCAGTCCAATGGGATCTATCCATTGAAGAATATCACGAATGATTACGAAAATGGCGTTTGCATAGTGAAACATAAAGGTGCCAAATTTGAAGCGAAATTGATTGCAAGGAATGGTGAGTAACATTTTTCGATTTTGATCCCTACCTAGCAGTCTATACCAGGTGTCCACGGAGTGTAGACTGTTTCATAGCTACATTGCAATAAGAGACAAACTAATTTTTCTAGGAATATAGTACAGGCTGCGCCATTTTCGATGTCCTCAAGGAATATCCTACTTATTTTCAAAGATAGAGGTTTGCGGTCATTGCTCTATTGTCGGCAACTTTATGAGATTACACTAGAAATTTTTTGACGTTCATGGGTAAAATGGCATTGATATTCAGCTTCAGATTACGTCAAATCAATTCTATGAGTTGATAAATTCCTTGTAAGAAAATATATTACTATCAAAATTGGGTAAATGCATTCATAAAAAACTGAGAGATTGAGCTGCTATCGACATATCCTTTATTATTTCATTCAACTAAAGTCATTGAATCATATTCAAATGATTCTTTGATTGAAAACAAAAACAAGAGGCGTAGTGTGTCAAGCATTTATCGGTACACAGTTTTCTTTACTCCGATGTTAGTGTGAGAAGATTAACATTTCCTTTTTGAAATATTAGAGAAAATTCAAGAGAGAGAATGTCATTTGAAAGAATCACTAGAAAAAATAATCCTTTTTGGCTACGAACCAAACTTTTCGCAGGTTTCATCAAAAACTAATCAACGTACGTCGAAAGTCAGCTATATTATCAGGTTGCTTGCCAATAATTTGATCGAGGACGTCACAGTGCCGTCATATTGATTTTGAAAGGGTTTTTTTGCTCTATCGAATGGCGTAAACATATATACAGCGTTCCATTCATTAACCTGAGTCAATTTCCGATGGAACCGGAAGTGATATTCTATTGTTTGCGCATGGAAAATAGGAATCTCAAGGAAATATATTACAATTGCGAATGTCAAAATTCTAACATGAAAGACAACTGAATGACGCCCTGTCCAATGATCTCGTTTTCACCAGGTATATGCTCAAAGTTAAAACACTGACCGTTTTTCGTGCAGTCCTCTGTTCATTTTCCAATTATACGCTGTTTGAAATGAATAAACAAAAATGTTTGAGATCTAGGCTCATGGGCAGCACAGAAAATGCGCGTCGTATCAAAGTTATACTCCATCTTATGGGATACCCTGTGTTTTATTTTATTTGCATTTTCAGATTCCCCCTTGAGAGCTGATTTCATCGATCTATCACACTATAGGGTCAGAGCAGATAATTACGGAGATATAGAGAGTGAAAAATCGAGATTTTCTTGGAATTTCTTGTGTCAAAATATACTTATTATTGGTCAAAACGGCATGTCCCTATCCCATCTTTCAATTCACTATCTTTCAATCTCTGACTTTCAATTCGAACAAATACAGGGTGATTCACAATTCTGACTTATGAACCACCCTGTATTCGTTTGAATTAAGTGTCAGTAGATAGTGTTACGTCAATATTGATAAGTGGTTGATATAGTGATTTATTTATTTTCAATTCAAATTTATTTTCGCGCTATAAAGGCACTAAACGGCGCACGCCCCCGCCTGATAGTCAATCGTCAGGCCTCGGACGTTACCGATAAAAAAAGGTACCAAGAAGTACCGGTATTCATTAGAATTTCAAGACTGATAAGATCCATTACTGCAAGACAAGGTTCCTCTGATAATTATTACCGCTAACCTAACTCAAGTGACAATTTTTGAAACATCTAAGTGCGCTACTTTAGCATGTGTAAGTGAAACCAAGGCGATAGGCAGACTTATTCCAGGAAGGGCCATTTCATCACCTGGAGAGACCACCTCCATAGACAACCTTCAGCTAAGCACCTGACCACATGAGAGGCCTATTGGGTAAGTCCGTTTAGTGCCCCCGCTTTAATCAAATTATTATACAGTCCATTCTTCAACACCACTTGAGGGTTATCGATCGCAAACAGATAGTAAATCAAAAGTTGATATAGGAAAATGTGAGCCGTTTTCACAAATAAGGAGTACTATACACAAAGAATTTCGGGATGAGAAATCTCTATTTTTCACACCCTGTATCTCTGTAACCATTTTCCTTATACCTAAAGTGTCATATATCGCTGAAATCAGCTCACAAGGGAAAATCCGGAAATTCAATGATATACAGGATGTCCCACAAGAAGAAGTATAACTGATACGCAAAGCATTCTCAAGTAACCCTATATAACGCAACATATTTTAGAAATGTGCTGCTCAGGAGCCTAGACCATCTCAAAACTCTTTGTTCATCTATCTCAAACAAATTTGCCACACTATTGGTCTACCCTGTATATAATTCAAACTCTTATGTTGGTCAACCAGAAGTTCAAGTACCACAACCATCAGGTTGGTATATATTCAACTATATTTAGTTGTGAGATTGATGGATGGTAATTTTCACCGAATTCTGAGAACCAAAAAAGAAACGATAAATTATTTGAACACTAATATTCGTTTTTTCATAAAACAAAACTCGAACAGAAAATCGTTCTCAATTGAATATTTCATCAGGTAACCACATGATTCATGAACATATTGAAAACCATCATTTGATGAAATGTATATACAGGGTGTCCGAAAATTATGCGCAAGAAATCAGGAGGGTGATTCTGCATGAGAACATGAAATTCATTTCATATATACGTGGGTTTGAAAATGCATAGTTTTCAAGATACAGTGTGTTGAAATTAAAAAATCGTTTTTTATGAATATCTCAAATATCCTGCAACCGATTTTCTTGAAATAAGGCAATTATATTTTTTGTCATGAGGAGCTGATGTAGCCATGATTGAATAGGACTGATGGAATCCAGTGGCGTCCCGAGGAGCCCCCTACCGAATCATATTGTCAATAAAATGTGCGCCACAGATTTTTTTGAATTCTTCATCTCCATATTCTATTGACCAACTGAAAAAGAAACATTTCCTTCTCCAGAATCATTTTGATACTTTGCTTTGTTTCCGCGAAAAAAAAAAGGATTGCATAAATTTGTACGAAATATTCTTTTCAAGGTTTAACACACTGTATCTTGAGAACAATGCATTTCCGGACCCCCGTATATATGATATGAATTTCATGTTTTCTCATGCTGAATCACTCCCATGAGTTTTTGCGCGAAATTTCCGCACGCTATGTATATATACAGTGTACCCCACTTTTAATGAATCTCTGTATCTTACCTATCAGTTGAGTTAGGAGTCTGCAGGAGCAAGAGATATACCGAAAATACACTCTATGAGCAAGTTGGATAATCCTCAATGATACACACTGCCCACCAACTGCCATGGAACCACCGACATTTACAGAAGTGATATCGGGGAACAAGATAGGTTGAAAATCACCTCGGAATCGGAATCAGGACGTCCAACTCACTATTTCCTAGAAAATTACCAATTCTGAAAAATCTAAATATGTCTCACTTTGCATGGAAATACCCACGTATCTCATTTTATTATTGAGATTTGCAGAAGGGAGGAAGAGTTCGAAGATGCAGTCAACGACCTACTGAGATTATCATCAGTGATCTACGCCAGCAGCCATGGAACTACCCACATGGCTACTGGCGAGCAGTGTCTATGACTCATGATAGTCTTAGTTGGTCATTGATTGTATCTGTGGACTTTTCCCTGGTTTTCCAACCTCAATAATTACGAAAAGTACGGGGGCGTTTTCATGAAAAGTGAGACAAACTTTCCAGAACTGTTTTTTTTTTTTCAGGCAGAATATGAATAGTTAGTGATTTGGACGTCCTGATTCGGAAGCTGTTTGAAAGAATTCGAAATATTCAAGGCGGTACTG